ACTACTGCGAGTGCTATGAGGCGAAGATCCTGTGCTCGAGTCTCTGCAAGTGTTGCGGCTGTAAGAACTTCGAGGAGAGTTTTGAGCGCAAAACACTTATGCATTTGGCCGACGCCGCGGAGGTTCGGTCCGCTCAGCAGAACGTGGCCACGAAGAACAAGCTCTGGAGCTCCGACTTCAAGCCAAAACTGCCCATTAGAGTGGACGGCGACCGGTATGTCATTTATGCTCACATGTGTTGCGATTGAATATTAAATTGTTGTTGTGATTGTATCGTACGGTAGACTCCCGTGTAGTTTCATAACGGCAGAGGTGATAGAGGCGACGTGTCAGTGCCTATTGGCTCAGGCAGAACACGGCGAACGCGGCGACATCGAGAACAAGATAATCGAGAAACTGGTGATCGAAGAGTTTGGTCGATGTCTCACACAAATCATCGATTGCGCCGCAAAGACCAGAAAGTGAGACACCCTTTGCCCCCAGTATTTGATTGTATTTGTCATTTGTTTTAATCACTTTTCATCTCATAATTAGCTCCAAATTCAAAACGGAATTCATGTAAACATTTGACGCAAAGAATTTCATAATTTATTTTCTGTACATTTCTTTTAACTGTATTTTTATTCATCCGATTATTTTGAGAGCATTTTGTTATTTATTTGAGTTTAAAACCTTTTGTCACTTTTTAATGGTTTACTATATATTTGTATGATTTAAAAAACAGATTTAATTTAAAATTCTATTATATTATGAGTTGTTTTGAATTTATTTTTAACATTCATGAAATATTGTATACATTATTGATATAAAACGCTACGAATTGTACATAAAAACAGAGAATTCATTAATTGATTTAATTCTTAAAATATATTTTAGTTTAATTATTATTATAAGGAATTTAACACAATTTAAAAACGACTTTTTATTAGTAAATTATAAATTATTGTAATTTTTGTTAATATTTTCTGCAATAATATTGAGTTTTGTACTCAATTTGCTTCGACTGATAATAAATGCTTTCAAATAAAAATAAAACAAAGGCCTAAATGTGAAGAAAATGTGCTAAAAATCACAATATCTATCGATTTATCCATTGCTGTGGTATTTAACTCTTATTGTCGATAAATAAAACACTTTTTAGGATCTATTTAATCGATTTGAGATAAATTCAATTCCCTTTGCATTCTATCAAACATTTGTTCCCATTCTCTCTCTCTCTCTCTCTCTGTAATCCGGCTTACATTGCGTCCAACTCTTCGGATCCGATCAACAAAGCCTTCCAACTCGAGAGGGAGTGTCGTTCGGTCGTCAAAAGTGGTCAATATAGTTTACTAACAGTAAATAACCCTCAGCTAAATATAAAACGATGCTCTCTTGAATCACTATTTATTTGTTACTCTTCCATTCTCTCTCTCTCTCTCTCTCTCTCTCTCTCTCTCGGAAATATTCAATTTACTTATAGTTTAACAGATAGTGTATCACTCAATCAATTATTGATTTATTTCTTACTCTTTATGAACACTATGTCAAACATAATTCACTTTCTGTTTTTATAATTTGTTTATTTTCTCAACGTTTGAGGTTTAAGTGGCAATTAATTACAATGTATTCAATGATTTTGTTGTTTCGCTTAAATGTTTTGAGGTATTTCTGGTTTGTGCTCTCAGTTTAGATTTTCTTCAATCAAACCGATTGTATTAAACAAATGGTTTTTTAAACAAATTTTTTCATTTCACGAATTGAGTGCCATTTAATGATTTGGTATTGCAATTAGAAATCAATGGTACAGTAAATATAGCACTTATTTTTTGCATTGAGATATCATTTCTTGTGTGCATTTATGGCTCACACTAATAGAGCCAATGATTTTGGTGTTTGATTGCATTTTTGGTTATTTTGTTGGTTTAAGTCTTATTGGGAATCAAATATTTGTTTGAATATTAAATTTCCGTTAAATAATAGTTAATAAAAGCTCTCATTAATGGCTCTAATTCTGTGTGAATATAGTGTACGGCATATAATGTGATGAGAGTTTTGGCACAATATATGGACGAAATACGCGATTCTTTATCTCTCGGATGACATTAAATGCTTTCAAAACGTCTCCAATAATCAACTTTTTCTGATGAAATTCTTTCTCTATAGAAAGTATTGTGAATTCTGTACCGGAAAAAAGTTGAGACCTTTTATATCATATTATATTCACTTTAAGAGCAGTTTCCTCCAAATCAACCGATCCTATGATTGACTGAAATTCAATTCTATCCGAAAAATTAAATGAAATTTTGCATTAAATGTTTGAAACATCATTTGAAATCACAATTCAAGTCATACTATACTATAGACGACGACAACGAAACTCAATATTCTTTAATCACAATAAAAATGTTTGTTTAATAGAAAATAGTGATAAACAAGTTATGAGTTTTATATGATTAATAATTGGGTTAACTATCAGATCAATCATTGAGAGAGTGGAAAGACATTCAATTCCCCCCATCCATCCCCCGGTGCTTTCAAAATGTTTAAAATAATATCAATTTTACACACAATTGGCGACTAATAAAACAATTTTCAAACTCTAATTTATAATAAGTAGAAGAAAAACAGTAGTTTTCCGCACATCGACTCCTATAGGCAACACATCTGGTGTTTTAAAGTTAAATACTTGACTACTATGTCGTTCCCATCCATGGGTTTGATTCGTTTCATTAATTTTATGATTGATTTTTGTTTGCAATTCATTCATAAAACTTCTTAATAAAAATAATAATTTTGGGCCGACTTTTTTGTTGTCTGTTCACCAAAAATATCTCTCACTCTCTATTCACGGCATAAAAACTCTTTTTAACACAAAATAAATTGATAGATAAATAGTCCCACAATTTTTACACCCAAAACACTAACTATTTTTCTTTTTCTTCTTCTTCGAGAAAAAGATAATTGAGTTGTTTATGAAGAATGCCTTCAATACTGGCATTCGTTAATATATTTTTGTTTATTTTGATAAAAATATTTCTCTTCTATAATAATAACGTTTAACTTCTATATAAGAAGACATTTCGATTGTGATTGTGATTGGAGTATAAATTCCGCAATTTTTGTTCATTTCTTTTAAACATTAAAATATTTGTTGTGTTTGAATGCCTTTTGGGAGACAATAATAGCTCAATAACTCATCCTCTCGTTCGGCTCCGCACCAGAAGCCCAACCAATTTGGCAACACTATTGTCTTCACCCATCCCTCCCATCCCTTCCTCTCCCCCATCACTCCCTTCACTAAAACACACATAACATGCCATTTGTTTCGCTCAACATTTAATTGCATTCAATTAGCGCATAAACATTATATCAATCATTACAAGTGAATTAAAATTACAAAATTTTTATAAATAGCAACACCTTTGCTAACAATATATTAATACTTATCAATTAAAACTGATTCATATTTATTCTACAAATTGCATAACCCTTTGTAAAATCCAAGAATATTACTGTTAGCTATTTATAACTGTTATAAAAACACAATTTTAAAAATACAATATAAAGCTGAATATATTTAAAATTATATTATTTAAAACAAAGTTTTGTTTTTTGAAGATTGTAAAATTTATAATTCATTTTAAATCTGATTTGTTGGGAGATTTGTTGTTGAATGAGTTTTGTTATGAGAAAAACACTAATTATTTTGAATGCAATCCTAATTGAATGTCTTTATATATCTATTTAGAGATACATATCAGTTAACGTCAAAAGATTTCTTGTTTTGCGGTATTTATAACACTTCATTAATTGAGACAAAAATTACAAAATAAAAATTTAATCCCTTTTCGGAGCCAAAAATATTCCGATGTCAAGAAAAGTGCAAAAATCGAGGAAAATATTTATTTTTGTACACAACTAATGAACAGTTCATTTATTTATTAAACATCTATTTATTCTATAGTAATATACTGTGGTTTGGCATATGGTATGGCATGGATCTGCATATTACCATGATCATTTGCTTAATATGCACAATTTGATCATTATATTTTACATTGCAGATACATTACACTGTATCTTATTTCAATTTATAATTGCATTAACTGTAGTAAACATAACTCTCTCTAAAATCAATTTAATACCAAAATTTAAGTGTTATTTAAAATATCATTTGTTTGAGTCATTTCTTCGATCGTTTACATTAAATAACGATTTATTTACAAAATACTTAATTATTTCTTTCTGGTCATAATTATAACATAATTATAATATATTTTCAATTTTAGACGCAAATTCTGTGGAGAGACGCGAGGAGTGAAACAGTGGTGCAGATCGTTAAATGAGTCCAAAATAGTTTCGTTAATAGACTTATAATTTAAATGATTTAATGATTAAAAGCGGAGAGCAATAAGTCATAGAAGCGGAGGAATTATTTTGTACACATATTGCCGTGTTTTCCGCAGAGATACACAATATAATCGCCAGAATTAAGCTGAAATAACTCCACAATGAGAGAGAGAGAGAGAGAGAGAGAGAGAGTGGAAAAGTAACAAATAAATAGTGATTCAAGAGAGCATCGTTTTATATTTAGCTGAGGGTTATTTACTGTTAGTAAACAGTTTAGCGACTCATAAATGTATAGATGTGTTCACATAATACAAGCGAAAAGCATCACAACATTGATATATAAAAGAGAAAAGAATTGGATCTAAAAACTAAGATTTTGAGAGATCATGAGATAAAAACTTATTCAATAAAGAAGTTTATACCGAATGTTATGTTGTATTGTATTAGTCGTGAGTTTACTGAAGAAGCCATAGAAGAAGCTGGAGATGAAAAATACTAAAATAAAGTTTATATTCTATTCGATAATTGTATTGCAATTGTAAGGCAAACACACACTGAATTGATTCCAAAGATTTAACACAGATATAACTTATGTGAGATGTTCTCTCTCTCTCTCTCTCTCTCTCTCCACAACCACTCCATCCCTACACCCGATATCCCTATCCTATTGTATCTCAAGGTTAGGCATAATTTAGTTTTGAAACAAAATGGCTTTTGGCAAATCTAAACACATTTTAAACGCTCTCTTCTCTCTAACAAATAAAGACCTCTCTATCTTTCATTTCTCTCTCTCTCTCTCTCTCTCTCTCTCTCTCTAAACCATTGTTTTTAAGGCTTACAACCAAACCATGAAAAGGAGTACGAGAGGAGAGAAAGAGAGAACTCATTAAATGACAGGAATAGTGGAAAGTCAGCGAAAAACAACTTTTTTCCTTAATTCTATAAATAGGAGTTTAAAAAAATGTTTAAATTTATAGTCGTTTTGGTCTCATTTTATTTTATTGTACCAAATATTTTGTTATAAAATATCTAATTTATCACTAAAAATATGCCTTTTATGCTAATTGTTATTATATTATGAAACATTAGAAATTACAAAAAATACATGTAAAACAAAAACACACAGAAAGTTATCTTCTGATAAGTAGGAGTGTTATCAATAAGACAGACATCAAAGTCCATAGAGATATGGTTTTGGGGCCATTTGTGGCGGCACTGCACTGACGGGACTCATAGAGAAATCCGTCACACTTTTTGCTCAATACATTCTCGTGTTCTGACGAGTATATCGGCATATTTCCGATCGTTTTGGCCGACCTTTTATCACATTTTTGTCGGGCAGAGTCGGCCACACAGTCCCGCAGAGACCAGAATCCGCAACAAAACTCACG